TCGCTGTCCGCCTCGGGCGCGAAGGTGCTCTACGAGTCCCCAGCCAAGTACAAGTATCAGGTGCTGGACGGCCACAAAGAGTACAAGGCGGCATACGATCTCGGTTCCGCGGTGCATGCGAAGGTGCTCGGCACCGGGTACGCGGTCGACGTTTACGAGTTCGACTCGTGGCGGACGAAAGCCGCACGGGATGCCCGTGACAAGTCTCGTGAGGCTGGGCGCATCCCGATGCTCAAGCACGAGATGGGCCCGGTCGATGCGATGGCGGAAGCCGTGCTCGCGAACGGTCTCGCCCGCAAACTGTTCGAACGGGAAGGGCACTCCGAGGTGTCCGTGTTCGCGGACGACAACGGCGTCCCGGTCCGGTGCAGGTTCGACCGGCTCCCCGATGAGGGCGGTATCGCGGTCGACCTGAAAACCACCGGTGGCAAAGCATCCAAGTCGGCATTCGAACGATCCATTGCTGACTACGGGTACGACATAGCCCACGCCCACTACCTAGACGTTCTGCGCATGGCGACCGGGCGTCAGGTGGAGATGCTGTTCGTCGTCGTTGAGACCGAAGCGCCCCACCTGGTCGGTGTGCACCAGCTCAATCAGCAGTTCGCGCAAATCGGGTGGGACAAAGCAATGGAAGCCCGCGACCTCTACCGGCACGGAATAGCCACCGGTGAGTGGCCCGGCTACCCCGAGAAGATCAACCTCGCACAACCGCCGATGTACACCATCATCGAGCACCAAGAACGATTCGGAGAGAACGCATGAACGACATCGAACAGATGCTCCCCCGCCCCGCTACCGCGATGTCGCAAGGCACAGCCGTGGAACAGTCCCGGGCAGTCGCTGAGGTTGCCGCAGCGGTGCAGGTCGCCAAGACGTTCCCACGCGACACGAACCGTGCCGCAGAGAACATGACCGAACTCTGCAGCCGACTCGCCGTAGCCTCACGGGCGTTCTACTCCGTCCCCAAGCGCGGATCGGGAATGTCCATCCATATCGCCCGCGAGCTCGCCCGCATCTGGCAGAACGTCGACTACGGGGTGCGTGAGCTCCGCCGTGATGACGAAGCCGGCGTCTCCGAAATGCAGGCCTGGGCATGGGACCAGCAAGAGAACGTCCGCTCCACCCGCTCGTTCATCGTCCCCCACGCCCGCATCGCACGAGGCGAACGGCAAGCCCTTACCGACCTGGGCGACATCTACCTGAACAACCAGAACCAGGGCGCGAAAGCTGTACGCGAGTGCATCTTCGCGATGCTCCCCGGATGGTTCAAGACCGAAGCCGAAGAACGCCTCCGGCAGACGCTCGAACACGGCGACGGTAAGCCGATCGAGCAGCGCCGCACCGACGCCGTAGACCGGTTCAAGGACATCGGCGTCACCCAGGCGCAGATGGAAGTCATGCTCCGTGCGGAGATGAGCCAGTGGGGTGCACGCCACATCGCCGAACTCACGAAGGCGTACATGTCCATCACCCAGGACGGCATCAACAAGGACGAGTTTTTCCCCGAGAAGCCCGTCGAAGTCGAATAGCCGACCTCCACCCAGTTTTCGTGGCTCCGGGAAACACCATCCCGGGGCCACACCCATACCCGAAAGAAGACAACGATATGACCAACGCTGAGACCCGCGACCAGAGCGGGAACGCACCCGAGCGCAAGACCTACGCCATGCCGGAGCCACTCGTCGCTCCGCTGGGCGTGCCAGTCACCCGTGACGGAGTACGAGAGGTGTGGGAGACGTTTGTGGCACCGTCCCAGTCGGACGATGCTCCGCCGCAGTCGGTTGAGACTCGCGTTCTGATGGCGATCCTTCGCGCCGTGTACGAGGCGCTGCCCGAGACCGAGAAGGAGCCGAAACGATGAGCGGGAACACGCCCGAGCCGACTGCGTCCATCATCTATGAACAGGGGTGGCTGGATGGACTGATGGCGATGCACGACAACATCTCCGGTCGCTACACGCTCGCGGACGTAGGAGGTCTGGCGTGGAATCAGTTCCGTCGCCTTCTGCGCCGTGACGCAGTCGCCGGGCCGCCCTCGAACCCGTATGACTCTGGTGTGCTCGTGGAGGGCGCACCCACCGAGACATGTGTCGAAGTACCGGCAGGCGCCAAGCGTATCCGCATCACGGGGACACTGGCGTCGCCTGTGGTTGAGGTGCTGGAACGTCATACGTGGGAGGGCGCACCCACCGACGGTGTCGAGAGGGCGCTGAGCGAATATAAGGCCCATGCTGGGTGCCGAGGCGACGAGTTCAGAGAGTACGTCTGCCCTGAATGTGGCCACCTCTACGCCACGGTCGAGGACCGCAAAGCCGGATTGGACGCGGACGCCTTGTCTGAGGCTGTGCACCGGCACCGAATGACCATGGCTCTCGCTGCTGCTGGTGTCGCCCCGCCCGCACCGAGTGGCGATGCGGATGGAGCGCAGTGCAACCACCCGAACCATGGAAACTCGGATCACGACTGCACGCCATTCGTGTCTGCCGACGAGCGTAAGCAAGAGAATCGGGTCCGAGCTATAAGCACTGGTGTGCCAGTGGTCCAGCTTCTGGCGTGCGTCGAGTGCGGGGTGCTGCTCTGGGATATCGACGCGCACTACCGACAAGTTCACCCGTCCGCACCGAGCGCCGACCGCGACCACCTTGCAGAGCGGTTGCGGCAGTTCGCGGAGAGCCAGCGCATGGACTTCGACTCGCCGGACGTAGCGGCGATGCTTGAGCGTGCTGCCGACGCTCTCGCCGCCTCGTCCCCGGTGACCCATCGTGAGTAACAAGCGGACCGGTCGCATGCCCGCATCGCATCCGGAGAAGATCAATGAGCGCTGCCACGGAATGTGCGAAGGGTGCCGTGTCAGGCGGGCCGAGAACCTGCATCATCGCCGGTTCTTGAGCCGTGGCGGGAAACACAACCTCGCCAACCTCATCGCCCTATGCGGGTCGGGTAACCACTCTGGGTGCCACGGGATCGCACACTCCGGCACCGCACCCGAGGGATGGGCAATCAGCATGCATGATCCCACCCCAGAAACCAACATCCCGTTCACGGACCTCACCGGGAGGAGGTGGCAACTTGACGACCACGGCAACATCACCGACGCCGCGTAGCGAGTTCTTCGGCACCTGGAAAATGGTCCGACTCTGCGCACGCACATTCACCCCGCACGAGCTCGCAGACTTCTACACCGAGTACACCGCCAAAGGTGAACACCACCGGGCCACCCTCATCCTCGAGGCCATATCCATTCATGCGTGTCGCACCACCTGGGGCGACCTCATCGAACAATCCATGAACAGAAAGGAGGAAGACCGTGGCGGTCACGAAGCGCACTCGATTTGAAGTCTTCCGCAGAGACGACCACACCTGCCAGTACTGCGGCGGCAAGGCGCCCGATGTCACGCTGACGATCGACCACGTGATGCCGGTCGCGCTCGGCGGAGACGACAAGCCGGGCAACCTCGTAACCGCCTGCAGAGGCTGCAACGCCGGCAAGTCATCGATCTCACCCGACTCGCCACTAGTGGCCGGACTCAGCGACCGCGCTGCAGCATATGCGCTCGGCATGGTCGACAAGATGACCCGCCTCCGCGCCGACTTCGAACAGCTCGCGGAGTACGCCGACGAGTTCATGGACTTGTGGAAGAGATGGGCCATCAGCTCAGGCCCACGGGAGGGTCAGGCGATCCCGCTGCCGCCCGAGCATGACAGCACTCTGCTCCGATGGATGAGAGCAGGCGTCCCGATGGCGATGATCGACCTCGCTATCACGAAGGCCATGCGGAAGTCCGACATCCGGGGCGAGTTCGGCGTCTTCAACTACATGGCGGGGATCGTCACGCGGATGCTCGACGACCGCGAGATTGACCTCACCGTAACCGCGGAATCCGCGGCGGTGTTCACCGAGAACGAAGCCGATGACATCCGCGTCAACGCTTACTCCGAGGGCCGCGGTCACGGATACGAAGCAGGCTACGAAGCCGGGTACCAAGAAGCAACCGAGGGGATGCCCAACCGCGTCCAAGAATACAAGGGGGTACGCAGTGAGAATCAGGTCGATAAAGCCGGAGTTCTGGCGGTCCCCTGATGTGTCCCGCCTCGCCCTGCAGGACCGGCTCCTGTTCATTGGGCTGTGGTCCTACGTAGACGACAACGGGGTTGGTGAAGACAGGGTGCCGATGATCTCTGCAGACCTGTTCGCCGACGACATCGAGCGAGACCCTCGCGAGACTTTCGCGAGAGTTTCTGAAGGCCTCGAGAGGCTGTCCGAAGGGGGCCAGATCGTCCGATATACGGTCTCGGGTCGCGATTACTTCGAAGTTCAGGAGTGGAAGAAGCATCAGCGCATCGACAAGCCCGGCAAGTCCCGACTTCCGCACCATGACGCCGCAGGCTCCGTACTCCGGAGACCCTCGCGAAAGTCTCGCGACATCCCCGCGCCTGGAACAGGGAACAGGGAACAGGGAACAGGGGATCAGGGAGCAGAGGATCAGGGGGGCGCTAGCGCCACGCCTTCGGCCCCCTCGATCCATTGCAACAGACATCCAGAAGGCTTCGACGGACCCTGCCGCGGGTGCAAGGTCGCATGGGAAGAGTACGAACGCTGGGCGAATAGCAGCGATGAGCCGGCGAGCGAGCACGTGCACCGGTGGATGCAGGACGGCACGTGCATCAACTGTGAAGCGACGCGAGAGGAGATGCCGTGACCGATGAGGAAGCGTTCGAGCACATGCCCGCCGTCATCGAGTTCCTGGCCGCGGTGGAGGCCCGTGACGAGCTCACGGTGTGGGCGTGCCTGCAGCATACGCCGGCGGCAACGTTGGCGGTTTGGTGCGCGGAACTGCTCACCGAAGAACGCCGCGTGAACGAGAGGTTGCGGGGTGAGCGGGCAGAGGTATCGCACGCGAACCGCCGACTCATCCAAATGGTTCAAGTGAAGACAGAGAAGATCAACGAGTTGCGGGGCATCCTCGATGCTGCCGCACGCAACGGAAGGAAAGCCGCATGAGCAGCAATGGAATCGACTTCGCAGAGGCCGTGACCCTCGTCAACGACCCCGAGCCGCGAATTTCGCAGGCGGGCGGTGCGTGGTGCACGTTCCGTGTCGCCTACAACCCGCGCATCCGGGACAAGCAGACCGGCGAGTGGAGCGATGGTGACGCAACCTACTTCGGGGTGCGGGCGTTCGGGAAGATGGCGGACAAGATCTGCGCCACATTCACGAAGGGCGACCAAGCGATCATCCTCGGCCGTTGGGGCATGCGCACCTATACCGACAACCAGGGCGCGGAGAGGACTTCGCTGGATCTGACGGTTGACGAGATTGGGGCGTCCGTGAAGTTCGCCGACGTTCAGGTCTCACGCACACGTCAGGGGCAGTCTGGCGGCTTCGGGGGCGGTCAGGGCTCAACCACTTCACCCCAGGGCGGAAACAGCGCTCACGGGGCCGCTGGGAACTTCGGAGGTGCGTGGGATGACTCGAGCCAGCCATTCTGACAGCGATCGTAAAGAACTCGCAAAGAGGTTATCTGAGTACCTAGGCACCGAGTTCTACTGGTGCAGCCGTGACTATTCAGCATGGGAGCACGGAACGATGAGCCTCGATGACTTCGAGCTAGCCGGAGAGAGCGATGACATCATCGCCGATCTTGTCGAGATAGCTAGCGGAAATCCGCTCTCGAAACGCGGACGGGAAGGAACGCCATGAGCAAGGAGACAAATTGAGTTCACTCATTATTCGCGAACACGAGACCGGTGAGGTCGTCAAGCACATCGACACAAGCGACATGTCCGACCGCGAGATTGCGCGTCTCGAACGCGGCATGAGCATCAACTTGGACTGGGAACGGTTCACTATCGAAGAGGAGAAAGACGTTGCCAACCAATAAGCAGATCATTGCGGCCTTGAACGCGCTCGAGGAGATGGTGCACGAACAGAGCGGCATCTCTCGACCCTATGAGTACGCCTCGAACCCGGAAGATTGGGGTGCAGTTTCGATGTCCCGGATGCGAGCGGCGCTCCTTGCCGCCGAAAACATCGCTAAGCCCTGGCGCGAGGCGAAGGAGGGTGAGGTGTGGAGCCTGACCATCCGGGGCGAATCGGTGCCCGGGATCCGCACGGGAGACCGCACGTTCATCACCGCGAAAGCTGGCTTCGGGAACATTCACGAAGATTCGATGTCTCTCTCCGAGGGGCATCAGGTCTGGCCAGCGTACTGATGAATGGACGAGATGACTCAGCGTTCCAGGTTGTCAAGCAACCGGAAGGTCGCGAGCGCCTTCCATTCGGTGAGGCGCAGTGGACTGCCGAGTTCCCGAAGCGGTTCCGGGAGCAACTGCTCGCGGAGGGCCCCAAAGGTTCGGAGCGAATGCTCGAGAAGATGAAGGAGAAGGACACATGCGGTGCTGGCTTGGATGGCACAAATGGCGAACTACGGCCTGCCTCGGAGGCATCGACTACTGCACCTACTTCAGTCAGTACTGCGGAAGATGCGGGCAACAGAGGGAAAAGGCGGTCTACTCGGGGGTGCGGCACCATGGATGAAACTACGCAGCAGGTACTCGACATGCTTGTCGCATCGCTGGATCACGAACCCAGCACGGACAGCGACAACCACCCAACAGCAGAACTCCTCGAGCGTGCTGGTGCCGCGTGGGCAGACTGGGACAAAAAGGTAGCCGCGTTACGCCTCATTCTGGGTTCACGGCTGGTCGATGAAGCGGTCAGAGCGCGACGGGAGGAGCAATGAACAGATCCCCGGTCGTCGAGCTTGTGGGTACAGCACCCGTCTATCAGCACCCCACTGATGCGGGTGCTGATTTGTATGCGGCGGAGGATGTTGAGATCCCATCCCAGGGACGACTCAGGGTGAAGACCGGCACCAAGGTCGCTATCCCCGAGGGCTGGGTTGGGATGGTGTGCCCACGCTCTGGCCTCGCTGCCGGGGCGGGAATCACCGTGCTCAACGCACCCGGCATCATCGATTCCGGCTTCCGTGGCGAGCTCGAAGTGCTGCTGTACAACAGCGACGGGACCACACATTACGTGCCCAAGGGCATCCGCATCGCACAACTCGTCCTACTCCCCTACGGGCAAGCCGTGTTCACCCCAGTCCACCGACTCCCGCCCGCTGAACGTGGTTCCGGCGGGTTCGGATCAACCGGACTGTAACCCATCTGAAGCCTCGCAACACTGCGGGGCTTACCTATTTCCGGAGCGCCCTGACCGTACAGGTTGGGGCGCTCCACCCATCTTGAGGAGAACACTATGGCCGATGAAATGAGGATCCTGACGGTGCGGCAGCCGTGGGCATGGGCGATCATCCACGGCGGCAAGGACGTAGAGAACCGGGTGCGGAACATCGCCGGCGACTACCGCGGACCCATCGCAATCCACTCCGGCCTCGCGATGTTCGAGGAGGAGGGTGGCGCGTTCCCGGAGGTGCAGCAAGCTATCTGGGTCGAAGACGAGGGCTACGTTCCCACTGATGACCAGCTCTGGGAAGTCGCCGATGATGTAGACCCCGAGGATCCTCGGTTCGTCTACGGCGCGATCCTTGGCGTCGTCGATCTCGGCGAGGTGCATGAGGCTAAAGAGTGCGTGGAAATGACGTTCCAAGGGAACGTGTTCTGCTCTCGGTGGGCCGAGCCAGATGGGTACCACCTCGTGCTTGCGAATCCGCGCCCGCTCACCGAACCGATCCCGTACCGGGGCACTCTCGGACTCCGCAGGCTCGATGCGTCGACTATTGCCCGGATCAATGAGCAACTCGGGTGATCACGCGGTGAGGATGCGTCCTGAGCCTGTGTCGAATGGTCTGACCCTGTGGCGGTGTCCCGTGTGTCCGATCCTGATTCCGGCGTGGGGTTGGGTTGCGAGTGTGGGTGTGCATGAGCGGGCGCATGTGGTGGCGGGTGACACCGAAAGGTTACATTCGGATTCGCGCGCATGAAAATGCCCCCAGTTGGAGCTGAGGGCATTCATCCCGCCAGTGATAGCTAACGGGCTTGTCCATGCGCTTGAAGACTGAGGACGTTCTAACCGTATCAAAAGTGGTCCGGGCGCGGAAGCTTTATGCGCATCGTCGACCATCTAACTTCCGCGTGATTCCGCGGTTTTCCCCTACCTATCCACACATCAATGTGTTAACCTAGTTGCAGGAGCAAGCGCCCCGACACAACTAGATCCATTTGCTTGGATCGGACGTGCCGGGGCGCTTTTCGTTTACCCGAAAGAGAGTTACCAATGAGCGAGAACCAAAGCTTGCCCGACATGCACTACATCTTGATCCGCCGCGACGGCATGCCGGAAGAGATCAACGCACCAACGGTCGAGTTCAATGCTGGTGCCGCCGTTTTCAGCGACCCAGCGGACCCGTTCTTCATGTTCGCGTACGCGCCAGGGACATGGGTCACCGTGGAACGAGTCGAGGGATCAGCGTGAGCCGCAAAATCACGACCGAAGTAGTGCGTGACGCCGTGACATATCCGCGGCAGCGACTCGGCGAACCCCGAGACATGACGGCTGATCAATTCGACCACTGGCTTGCCGAACTGATCCGTGCCGCAGCCGAAAGCGCATGGGACCAAGGACGTGGCTCGGTCCTCCGCGACCTGGCGGCTGACATTGAGGACCCCACTGTCCAACCGATCAGCCGAAATCCGTATCGAGAGGATTGAGCATGAGCGAGAAAGCGGACGGAGAGCCCGAGGCAACCCGCTGTCCTGAGTGTGGTTCTGAAATGAAAGTGATCCACTTCCAACAGCTCGGCGACATATCCATCTGCGGCGAAAAACTCGTCGAGCCTCGCCTACGCTCTCACCACCGGGTGAGCTATTCGGTTCGGCTCGGGAACGACGGGCTAATCATTGAGGCGGGAGAAGCATGAGTGAGGAAGCGCGGCAGATCATGGCGGATGGAGAGAAGTGGAAGGAACTCATGGACTACTTCGAACAGTGGCCATACTCGCCCTACCGGGACGCAGAACACCGGGCGTTACCCCAAGCGATCAAAGACATACGTGATGGCCGCGGGGTCCAAGACGGAATGTATACGCCGAGACGGGAGGAAGCAGTGCGATGACTGTCGCAGAGTTAATCGAGAAGTTGCAGGCTTGCCCGCAGAACTACACGGTCACCGCAGACCTTGAAACCGTCGACTTCGGCGCAAACGTTGTTGACTATGTCGATGTGGAGCACGAGAATCAGGCGATCTATCTGGGGTGACCTAGCGTGGTTTGATGGCGTTCTGCCACACCCACACATGGTCCGGCGCACACCCAGGCTGAATCACGGCACGGACGAGTGCGGCGCGTGCTGTCCATGCGATCACTTCACCCTCGACTTGGAGCGTGTCCGCGTATTGGTAGGTGACGGGGATCAGCGCATCAACCAGGACAGGTTCGGGTGCGTCGGTGCGTTTCCCGGTCATCGCCACCACCTCATCCGGGATCGGTGTGGCGCGCGGGTATCGTTCGACACGGCGAATCATGCGGTCAGTGTCGGCTTCCTGCACGTGGTTGGTGCGCTTACCCACGATGCCCCAAGTAGTACATGTGTTCGAGTTTAACTCTGCCCCCTGACACGCAAAAATGCGGCCCCTAGCTAACTCCGTCATGGAGTCGGCTAGGGGCCGCACGTGTTTCTAGAGGTCT